GTCCGAGGATCAAATCCTGGGTCGTGAGTCGCCGAGGCCAACCAAGCCTTCCATCCCTCCGGAGGTCGGTTAATTGGTACCAGACTTGTCTGGAAAGACAACTGGCCTTGAACATCGGCTGGCCCCGCAAGTCATTGTACGGGCCAAATCGCATTCAATATGTCACTACTGCTTGTCATTACTACCTTATACTTTTATTACATTGCGGAGGTCAGCTGGTGCTCAACGCTGACGCAGTTTTTGTTACCGTTCTGAAAAGTATTAAGATCCACAAGACTTTTGCTAGGCATCTGGAAAGCCTTAGACAGGTGTCAGACTTCGCGACAATTAGCTCATTGCGTTGCTGGAATTGCTGGCGCATCGCTGAGATCGCTGGCGCAAACCCTCAAATCGCCCGTGGATCGCGCGACTTCCAAGCGAAAGGTCGCAAAGTTTGACATCTGCCTCAGTGCACTGCGATACCGCGTCCCTAGCCACGGCTCAACTTTGACTCTCATTGGCTCTAAGGAAGGAACGATATACGTTCAGTGTGCACGATTACTTTATTATAAAAGTGATTTTATGGCTCTAGAAAGCTGAAACTCGGTGACCTATCACTGTGAAAAAAACTTCTGTTCTCCATATTCAAGGAGGGAAGGAGTGTTCAGTGGCAAGCCTCCTAGTACCTTTCGACCCACGCTACCCGCATTGTGCGCTAGTATTTTGGTGAGGACACGTCATGCGATTTTGCGATGACCGTTGGACCAGAGCGGTTACCGACTGGATCCCTCGGGACGTCAAACGAACACCTGGACGACCGCCGGCCCGATGGTCAGACTTCTTCACGAAAGCTCTGAACGAAAGGAATGAAGGACTTCGTGTCCCTCGAGCGAGGAGGATCCACTGGACCACTCTAGCACGCGACAGGGACGAATGGAGACGTTGCTGGCGCCCGCTCGAGCAAATCGATGATCAACGGGACGACAGGTGATACAGGTGATTTGGTGAGGCGTTCGTTGATAGACCGGCGCCGCCAGGAGCAACCGAGCTTTTTGAACTACTGGTAGATTATCAATTGGACGTGCCTGGTAGGAAAGGATACTGCAGATATTAAAAAGTGCGACCGGAAATGGTGGAATAAACTTTGCTCAGAGCATTTCCTTTAAATCGCAAGAAATCCAAAGAAGGACGCAGAAGGGTCCCTCCTTTGTCTTTCAACCACGTCTTCTCAATATCAGTACTAACCTGAGAAGACCTCAATTAAAGAACTCAATCTAAATCATACCTTGTAGTAGAACGGCTGGCATCGTTTTGTTTTGGCATCGTAGTAAAATCGCTGACCCGCTTGTTCATCACAAATAAAACCAGAATCTTTGGCTGTAAAATAACGAAGAGTTACCATCAGGATCTCTTGACTTACTTGCAGACCTTAGTTTAGTTACTGCTAAAAAATTTAAATAATACCTAACAAGCACTCCTTCTGCGCTAAAGCCAAGGGTATGAGTGCGAAGAAGAAGTCGATACATCTGAAATTGGAAAAAGCATGCATTTGAATTGAAGATCAGCATACTAATAAACGGAACGAACAACTCTTTCCCGCCCTACATATAGGCACAGTCTACGCCTAAAATTTGCAGATGTAATTGCTTGATAATGAAACAAGAGATGTAAAGAGAGGACCATCAGTGAAGAACAAAATAAAAGAGATCACAGAATACGAAAATACTGAAATTGAGAGCCTACTTTGCATATGTGATCGACCTATGTGGCACGACGAAGAGATATAGGGCCGTGAGGAGAGGGGACACGCGAGGAAGCACGCCGTATGAGAGGGCGCAGACATCCCCATGTGGCGAACGAAAAGCGAAGCGGTCGCAGCGATCAAGGCAAGTTTTATAGCCCTGGTCGCACACATTCGAGTCGCTACAGTGCCATGACCTCCGTGCTTGGAGCCTGTCCACCAT